CCTGCTTCTATTTATTTTAAGAACTACTATAAGATTATTATACAAAATAACAATCTAGACTAGTATAATGCTCTATTCTAATAGAAACTTACCAAGCCAAAGCCCAATGTAACTTGCTAAAACAACTATTACATCACGAAGTTATAAAAATTATAATTATCAAGTTATTTATTCACATTGTTAATTAACTAAAAAAGAGGCTATCTAACAGGGGCTTTATTAAACATCACAATATATATACACGATATATATCTATATATTTATATTATTTAAATAAATAACATATATATATACAAAATATTTAACCTGTTATTAAACAAGATACTGTAGTACAAATAAATTATATAATACAAAACTAACAAAACATCTAAATTTTTATATTATAAATATTTTTATTTATTAAACTATATATTTTAAAAATATTAAAAACCAATATTATAATTTTATTAATCAACTCTCCCTGACGATCACTTGGACCACCCTCCTCACAGAAAGGAAAAGTAGAAAAAGTTTACTAGAGAGTCGTGTAGCTACAAGATGGTTTGTAGCGAGGTTATAGTAAACTCCTTGCTACATTTGGCATGCAAGCCAGAAGCTGAAAACCAGATTTGTAAAGGGTGAAGCAACATGTTTTTGCATGCAGGTGGCACCCTGCACGAAGTGAATTATAATTCTGGTGGTATTATCATTACTGTTGACGAAGTTTTGTAGACTATAGTTTGAGAGGGGTCTTGGTTGTTTTTAGAGAGGTTAACGACTGCCTCAGGACTCCCTTCTATATCTAACATGCAAGCCAGAAGCAAAGACGCGAAGGAGGAAAAGGCAGGTAGCACTTGCTATTGCATATAAATTTTGGTAGAAGAAATTCCATTAGCAAAGCCTTTAAAACTTCTTGAGAACTCAGGGGTACAGTAAACTTTAAAACTTTTTGGTTTCAAGCCACACTCTTTTATCCTATACAAGTAGTTTCCTTTATTATACTCTTTCCCATTGCTGCTGATCTTCTAAAAATTTCGACAAAAAGTGGAGATTTGGCTTACCCCCTCCAAACAATCGGCATAAGTTATATAGTGTTTACATTCCCATATCCGGTTGACATAGTAGATGGCAATCACATGTTTGGTATAAGCGGACATGGTGCTACCGGTTTTGGCTCAGGGCCGCAGGAGACTGAAGAGTTGGCATGGGATAATAACAGTACCTGATTAGAAGAACTTGAGCGAAGACTTCTAGAAATAGTAGAGTCGGTGAGAAATTAATAATATAGGCAAAGCCTTACAATAGAGATATGCAATGTTGCTATGAGCATATAATTTTTATACTCACCTGGCATGGGTTATAACAGTGCATTTTCTTTTTTCTTGTCAGTTTACTTTTTTTGTTGGTCTATTTATGATGGAATTATATTTAGAATAGTTTCTTTCTGTAGTTTTTGGTTTTGATTTTCTTTTCATTTTCCTAAATGTTTTTGGTCTTTCATAAACGTAGTATATATATTCTTACTTATAGAAGAGTAGGAGATAGTTATTCTGCCTAGATTTTGGTGGAAAACATTAGAAAAAAAGTTGGTGATCCTGACAAGGTATACAACAGCCAGTCTGTAATTGAGGGGGGGGGTACCTTTTGAAATACGAAATCATGAGTTAGTTTATAATCCCTGAGTAGACAAACAGTTGTTATAGCAGATCGTATTGGGCATTTATGCTTGGTGAGTCTTTATTATATTAGAGCAATAAGTTGTAAGAATTTTGTACACTTGGGTGTAAAAATTATATAACAGTTTACATGAATAAAGGCAGAATCGCTTAAAAAAAAAAAAAAAAAAAAACTAACATTATATATTATAACTTTAAAATCATTCTAGTAAACTAGTAGTTAAAACATATTTACAAAATATCAAACAAAAAAACCACTAGCAATTACCAAAAAAAAAATATCCAGCAATTACCAACAGCAATACCAAAAGAGCAAAACACAACAAGTACCAAACCAGATATACATTACTAGAAATATAACTGCAAAACTGTAATTAAAACACATTCGCATACCACCAAACACTAGCAATAAAGAATATCAATAACAATATTAAAAAAGTAAGACACAACGAATACCAAATCTGAAGAACATTACTTGAAAGAAAAGTGTAAGTTAAAACGCATTCACAAACTACCAACAACAAAAAAAAGAAAAAATAAAGAAAATACCAGCAATTAAATATGAATACCAACGGCAACACCAAAAGAGCAATATAGAACGAATACAGTGATTAAGAATATTAACACGACATTAAAAGAGCAAGACATGACGAATACCAAATCAGAAGAACACTACTAGAAAGGAAAGTGTAAGTTAAAACACATATACAGACTACCAACAACAAAAAAAAGAAACACTAGCGATTAAATATGAATACCAACAGCAATACCAAAAAAGCAATACAGAATGAATACAGTGATTAAGAATATCAATGCAACATTAAAAGAGCAAGACATGATGAATACCAAATTGGAAGAATGCTACTAGAAAGGAAAGTGTAAGTTAAAACGTATTCACAAACTACCAATAACAAAAATAAAAAAAACACTAGCGATTAAATATAAATACCAACAGTAATACCAAAAAAGCAATATAGAACGAATACAGTGATTAAGAATATCAACACGATATTAAAAAAGCAAGACACGACAAATACCAAATTGGAAAAATGCTACTAGAAAGGAAAGTGTAAGTTTTTTAATTCGGCAGTCTTGCCTTTACTGTTTTATTAGTACTCTAAGGTATTGTGTTACAAACATACATACATACATTTACAACTATCTAATTTATTACAGATAAGGCTCACCTAGTTACTAACTTAGTATCTATGTGTGACCTGCTATATGAGATTTTACCTCCTTAGTACCGCCCCTTTTGACCAGACCAATTACTAAATCACTAGATGGTTCCCAAACCTATATTATCATATATATTCCGCTTATATACTACTGTACAATGTCTACTAGCCAACTTCTACCCCTTAGTACTTATCATATTACTCCTAATTCATTTCTTGTACCACTTCCAAATTGGTGTCTCTCGAGTGGGTGCTCTTGATGCTTCCAGTTTGGTGTCCCTAGAGGAGTTACTTTATGAGCCTAGCCGTATTTCAAACAGTTAAGTTGCCAAACTAGGATGATATTTCACGTCGATCCAGGTATTCGTGTCGTATACCACCAGATTAGCTACCAATCCTTCTATAGTACTCCCTATTGGTATGGTGATACAGGGGTTTGGATCTTTCGGATGGGAGTTAAGTACCTCATTTAATTACTGTTACAATCCAGTAACCCGGGACTCATGCCTCTGCCGTGTTTCATCATAGACTCCTATATAGGTTGTGTGACTATTACTCCCTAGCCTGTCTTTATTTTCATATCACCAGATCACCTGCTTCTATACTTTCGGGATTTCTTTTAGCCAGTTTTCCTTGTTTTCTTGTGCCAGAGGTGTTTTATATTTGGTAAAGCCATCTTCTTACTACAGCCCCTTACTATGTTTACCACTTCTTTCACCACTTTTGGATATACTATATACAGCTGTCCTTCCAATCAAGATCTCAATACCACCTTAGGGTTATTGGTGCTACTTTGCCAATTGTGGATTCACACGCACAGCCTTCTGCAATAATATCTTCTGTGACCCATGTCACATGCAGTGCCTAGTCTTCTCCATAGCTCAGGGCTCCTTTCAAGAATTCTTTATCGGCCAAATATATACATCACATGGTCTTACCACCAAGGTTTCGCATTCAAAAGCCCCTAAAGATTACAGAGATAATTAATTAAATTAATTACCACCAGCTGTAATTGAATCATCAACCTTGTCTGTAGAGAGTTAGACGCCTAGACTACTAGGCTACAGGACCCTAACTCCAAAGAAAAGTGTAAGTTAAAATGCATACACAAACTACCAACAACAAAAAAAAAAAAACACCAGCAATTAAATATGAATATCAATGGTGATACCAAAAGAGCAATACAGAATGAATACAGCGATTAAGAATATCAACACGACATTAAAAGAGCAAGACATAATGAATACCAAATCAGAAAAATGCTACTAGAAAGGAAAGTGTAAGTTAAAACATATTTACTAACAAAAAAAAAAAAAAGAAACCACTAGTGATTAAATATGAATACCAACGGCAACACCAAAAGAGCAATACACAATGAGTATATATATGTTGCTAGAAACATAATTGCAGAACTGTAGTTAAAACACATTCACATACTACCAAACAATAGCGATTAAGAATATTAACATGATATTAAAAGAGCAAGATACGACAAATACCAAATCAGAAGAATGCTACTAGAAAGGAAAGTGTAAGTTAAAACATATTTACAAACTACCAACAACAAAAAAAAAGAAAATACCAGTGATTAAATATGAATACCAACAATGACGCCAAAAGAGCAAGACACAACGAATACCAAACCGGGTATAATAAGTAAAACACATTCAAAGACTACCAAACAAAAAAAAACATTAGCGATTAAGTATGAATACAATAGCGACACCAAAAGGGCAAGACACAACAAATACCAAGCTGGTGGACGTTACTAGAAAAATAATTGTAGTTAAAAACATGTTTACAAACTACCAATGATTAATGTTACTAATGAACTAATAACTACTAATGATTAATGTTACTAATGAACTAATAACTACCAATGATTAACGTTACTAATAAACTAATGAACATTCACATACCATCAGCAAAAAAAGTTTAAGAAATATTATCGGTTATATATTTATAATTTGATTGTGTAATGATTATTATCATTATATTATTCTTACGTACTGCAGTACTGTATATCTGTATATACTGTATCATATTTTTTTTTTTTTATCATATAAGTAACCTGTACTAAAGAATGGCCGGGCTTTGTCAGACTCAAGGATGTCAACACCAAGCCACCCAGACCGTTTAAGTCAAACATTAGGCCGGCTTTTCCAGTAGAACGCCCAACCTTGGTTACCGCACTGATGTTGGCCACAATACCCGTCATATGTCGCAGCGTACTATGATATCATATAACCTCAGACCTCAGCTACCCCATTGCTAGGGTACATGTCCTACCCATGTATTCACCCAGACTTCGGTAACTTTACGCCATAGCTTGACCCATGCACTTGGGGTCAGAACTAACCATTAAATCTCTGCAACTAACTAGTACAAGTACCAATCTAGTATATATATTACTATATATCCCGGGTCCCTTCCCCGCGGTGTTGCAGTTCCCAGATCCATTACCTTCCTAATTAATTGTCTATTATCTACTTCTTGCCCTTATTAGGTTCACGGCAACTCTAGTACCTGCATTCGGACCGTCTTCTTACCCGAATTCTTTATCGATCTCTCCTTTACTTCCAGCCGGCAACCTGGAAGGATCAGTCTGCCCAGGCTTTAGATACCTGAAGGATGCCCTCCCCTTGGTATATACTTTCGAAACATATGTCCTTTTTCTCCAGTGTGACAGAACTCGGCGATTTGGCTAGTATGTCCTCCGCTATTAGAACCTGGTCGTTCAGTTCTCCAATCTTGGGCCCCGGTTCAAATTCAGCCTTCTTGTGATACTATTGAAGATCACTGCTACTTCCTAACTCGGGACTTCCCAAATGGGTTTTCAGTTATGCCAGTTCTTCAGATTTATTGCGTCATTGCTTCTATTACTAGATGGTGTGACTGAAGTTACAAATTAGATCCAACTGATAAGCATAGCCGTCAACCAAACACAAGCCTATTTTTCAAATATCGTCGTCCATGAGATTCGAACTTTAGACCTGCCACTTGGAAAAGGTGACTACTAGACTACTACACTAAGTTGCCACACCTCTATACTGTATTGTATATATTTATATTTATTTATTTATATATATAACTAAATATATATATATTATATAGTTAATATAGCTTTTTCAGAATTTTTATATTAGCAAGTGCAGAATTACAACAATATTAGTTTTCAACACAATATTATTTCGATTAAAATAAAAAAAACTAATAATTATATAAAGAAACTGAAATTGGATACTATTCAACAATTATGAACATTATCAGTATCATCATCGTTATAATAATTATTGTTATAATGATACATCAAAGAGGGAGTACCAGGATGTGAAATATCAGAATAATGATCAAAATGACTTTTGTATTCTTCTGAGTGTTGCTCAACATTATTCTATATTATTAAAAATAAAAAAAATTAATAGATAGAAAAATTAAAAGTTTAACAGATATAATGCATTTAACTGCTTACATCCTCAGTATTATCATCTAACATTTGCACATTATTAATTTGTTTAGACTGGGCTTCCATTCGGGATTGAATTTCTCCACTAGTAAGAGAGGTGGTTGTGATTATAAGATCAACCATCATATTAATTACTGCAATAGCAAATTCTTGATTGAGCTTTGAACAGCAATCTCTAAACGCCTCGGTCATAATATGACATATATATATATTATGAGGGTCAGCATCTTTCGATAGATCAACTAGCTACCATAGTTTAGATTTTGCTTCTAACATTGCTGAGCTGGTTTTTCATACTAAGACATTTTGTTTAGAAGCTTTCTGCCCAGGAATATCCTCTATAGCCACTTTGCCAAAAACATTAACTATTGCTGTTTTTATTTTTTATACATTATGGGCTTGTCTAACACAATATTGTTGGCAAGCCTATAGAATAACCATCAATTAATAGTAAAATTAATATTTACAACAAAAATTAAAAAATACCATATGTCAAATTGAACAATATTTTTCCAATATTTATCTCATCCTTTTTGAGAATTTTCAATTTGAATCATTTTTTCATGAAAATTATTTTTGAGCTTATTATAGCACATATTTTTCATTACTAGATCGTCTACATTTTTGTCATTTTTAAGCAACTCAAATATCATATTGGCCACATCCTCCTATATTAAAGAAAATTTTAAAGTTTAGACAAGTTAATAATTATATGTAAGACAAATAAATAAACTACATATTTACTAAAAACTATTTTCTAATTCTCCTTTGCTTTGTATATGCTCCAGGTATTGTTATAACATCAGCAAAAAAAATAGACCAATATACATCGATTACTAGCCGGGTAATTATATATCGATACCAATTACCCCTGCCGATTACACACGATCGTGATAGTAATCGATATATAGCGAATTCGTTTACTAGCGGTAATACTAAATATC